AGACAAGACTGTGAGGTTGTTCTTACAATTTGAACTCCTAGAAGCAAACTGCAACAGGACTGCTCGTCGAACTAGAAAGCATTGAGTAGCTATAGCCACTTCGCATATGTACTTGCTCCTTTGGAAAACTTGAGGATCAATGGGATTGAGACGAGACCTGTGAATGGTTGACTCTGTTTTGAGAAATGCAAAAGGGGAAGGGATTGTCAGGATTGAGGGAAGTTATGGTAAAATGTTTTGTAAAATGTGTGATTGACCCTCGGTCGGATGAGTTATGGCATGAGTTTCCGAGAGAGGTTAGGGGACCTATGGGTAAAGAGGCATGAAGAAGCGTCCTTCGGGACATCCGTTAAAATTGGAACGATACAGAGAAGATTAGCATGGCCCATGCGCAAGGATGACACGCAAGTCAGGAAGAGAGAAAACAGTGATGGTACCCCCCCCCCTCGCTATGGTTGAACGACCGGGTGAGCTAGTGCTGCTTGGGGTTGCGAGCCTCAACTTGAGAACTAGACGCTAAGTCGGATGTCTACATGGATAAGTGAAATAATGTTGGCAAAGGACAAAGGAAAAAAAGTGCATAAAAACCTAAGAAGATGGCCACCTTCTAACCCCCGAGACAGAGATGGGATCCGTGTCCTCGAGGCCCACCCCCTCGGGCGCTAACACTGGAATGGATAAGGACGGCCCTGACAAGGCCGACCGATTGAGAATGGATAAGAACGACCTTGACCAGGCTGTTCAACTTAAGAATTGATAAGAAAGGCCCTTACCAGGCTGTTCGACTTGAGAATGACCAGGCTATTCAACTTGAGACTGGAAAAGAACGACCCTAACCAGGTCATTCGGAAATGGCCCCTGATAAGGGTTATTTCTTTTGAAATAGGCACTGGGGTCCCCTGTAAGAATTGATTGAGAGATGTTGATTGAGAAAGAGCTGGAATAAGCACTATGAGACGGAAAAGTCCGGTGGGTCGGTCATTGAAATAACTATGAGGATGGATGGAAGAGAGTGACGCATTGGAAAGAGAAAGGCAGAATAAGGAAGAACGAGCCTCAAGACAAGAAGGGCATAGACCGTTGGGACGGTCATAAGGATGAGATGTTGCAAATGTGGGAGTTAAGGATTGGAGGTGGACCGATGGGTCCGGCCTCGGAAAATAGCTATTCGAGGAAGCAACCACCGGACCAGTCACGAGGGGTGGCCTTATTGATGAGAGGCTGTTGAACCAACCATGAAAAGCAGCCATGAGAAAGAGCGAGAAACATCATTGGATTGAGTGAGGAGAATTGGATATTGCATTGTATAAGTCAGGGGATCCTAGACAATTTTGAAAAAAGGTCGTCGGGCCGACCATGGAAATGGCATTGCAGAAGGGGGATACCGGTGCCCGCACCACGACCCCAAGGCCTCTATCCTTCTAAGGAAAAAGTCTCAACGCGACCTGTTCCTTTTAAAAGGGGATGAGGGTTAAGGGATCAAGGCACCTGTCCCTTGGATCGGTCTTTGACCATTCGGAACTAACTCCGACAATGAGCTATAGTCGGGGAGTTCAAATTGCGCCTCATGCTGAGAGCCTAAACGTCAAAGGGTGAAAGAACCAAATGGGCGAGAGAGTCATTCTTATTCTAGTATTTTTTGCTCTCTCCAACCACACGCCATACCATACAGGGGTGGCATGGCCGTTTGGGTTAGACCTCAGCTGCCCGCACTAAGTTGGGCGGCACTGTCCAAGAGGAGGGGTCGGACGAGGTACCGAGTGGAATCCGCCACCACCACGAGGCATTGACACCGCCTCGCCGGAACATTACAACCGTTTCGGGACTAACCACGAGGTCTTCATAATTGCACTCGAGAACTAATAGAGAGTCGCAACTCTCCTAAAAGAAAAAGGCCAGATCAAGAAGAATTACCACTCGAGAGGAACGATTCGCGAGGGAAGCTCTTATGGCAAGACAGAGCCCTGGGAGGCTTGGACTGGACCTACCTGCCAGATGTGAGGAGGAACCTCAGTGATGGTGCTCGTCTCGTAATAGCAAAAGGTCGGACTGAGTAGAGAGATGAGGCGCCACCCGCTGAGGGAAAACTGATCACTCTTCCTTCTTGAAGTAGATGGGTTTGCGTCCTTGACTACAATCGGCGGGCCAAAGGTCTGCGTACCTCCGAGTGAGAACCAGTCGTGCGATGGGGACATCGCATTTTGAGTGGAGGGAAGGTGTGCCACCTACCGATGAAAAAGCATGCAAAGAAAAAAAGATTTGTGTAATTGGCTTTGCATGGAATTGAAAAAGGGGTCTAGCAAGATATCCAGAAGAGAGAAAGACTTGTGTAATTTGCTTTGCATGGGCTTGAAAAAAGGGTCTGGCAAGATGCCCAGAAGAGAAAAAGACTTGTGTAATTGGCTTTGCATGGGCTTGAAAAAAAAGTCTGGCAAGATACCGACAAGAGAAACAGACATGTAATTGGTTTTGCATGGGCTTGAGGAAGGGGCCTGACAAGATGCCCAGAAGAGAAAAAAACCTGTGTAATTGGCTTTGCATGGGCTTGAGGAAGGGGCCTGGCAAGATGCCAGAAGAGAAAAAGACTTGTGTAATTGGCTTTGCATGGGCTTGAGGAAGGGACCTGACAAGATGCCCAGAAGAAAAAAAGACTTGTGTAATTGGCTTTCCATGGGCTTGAGGAAGGGGCCTAGCAAGACGCCCAGAAGAGAAAGGACTTGTGTAATTGACTTTGCATGGGCTTGAGAAAGGCCTGGCAGGATGTCCAGAAGAGAGATGCATACGAAACGAACTGAGTGTCGCACGTGTGAAAATGAATTAAGCTTGGGTGCAAGAAAGGGCGAAAAAAGGGGGGATATGCATGCGACATTGGCAGGGCTAGAGAAAGGCCGGGCAAAATAGCCTGGGAGAAATGCATGTAAATTAGGCTTGAGGAAAGAATGACGAAAAGCATGGATTGCACGGACCGAGGAGCCGCGCAGGAAGACTCACTTTTTTTTTTTTTTTTTTTTTTAAACAGTTTTTATTTTTTTCAATCAATCCATTAATCAATCGAAATTGATTGATTGATTGATTGATTGATTGATTGATTGATTGATTTGATTTGATTGATTTGATTGATTGATTGATTGATTGATTGATTGATTGATTGATTGATTGAAAGTTGTGAAGGCGGACGTGCGAAGGTGGGCGGAGGTGCGGGGTAATCCGTAGGAGCGGGGCGAAGCAGCGGAGGGGCCGGAGGGAGGAGCAACAAGGAAGACCGGGAAAAAGACCTGAGCGGCGGTGCGCGGAGGCCGGCGGAGATGTGAGGAGGTGAGCGGAGATGGGCGGAGTCGAGCGGAGGTGGGTCGAGCCGTGGAGGTGGGCGGATGTCAGCGGAGCGGACGCAGATGGAGGGGTAAGACTCCCTTTATTTTTTTTATTTTTTTTTTAATAAGTTTTTATTTTTTTCCATTCAATCAATCAATCAATCGAAATTGATTGATTGATTGATTGAGAACGGGGAAGGCGGACGTGCGAAGGTGGGCGGAGGTGCGGGGGATGGCGGAGTTATGGGGTTATCCGTAGGAGCGGAGGAAGCAGCGGAGGGGCCGGAGGGAGGAGGAAGGGGGAAGGCCGGGAAAGCGACCCGAGCGGAGGTGGGCGGACGTCAGTGGAGCGAACGCAGGGGGAAGGGGGTGAGCGAGGGAGGTGGGTGGAAGACTCCCTTTATTTTTGTTTTTTTCCTTTTAATAAGTTTTTATTTTTTTTCAATCAACCAATCAATCAATCAATCAATCAATCAATCAAAATTGATTGATTGCTTGCTTACTTGCTTGATTGATTGATTGATTGATTGATTAATTGATTGTTGAAAGCGGGGAAGGCGGATGTGCGAAGGTGGGCGGAGGTGGGGGGGATGGCGGAGGTGCGGGGTAATCCGTAGGAGCGGAGGAAGCAGCGGAGGGGCCGGAGGGAGGAGGAAGGGGGAAGGCCGGGAAAGAGACCCCAGTGGCGGTGCGCTGAGGCCGGCGGAGGTGGGTGGAGCCGCAGAGGTGGGCAGAGGTCAACGGAGCGGACGCAGGGGGAGGGGTGAGCGTCGGAGGTGGGGGGAAAACCCCCCGTCCGTTTTGTTTTTTTTTTAATAACTTTTTAATTATTTCAATCAATCAATCAATCAATCGATCAATCAATTGATCAATCAATCGATCAATCAATCGAAATTGATTGATTGATTCATTGATTGATTGATTGATTGATTGATTGAAAGCGGGGAAGGCGGAGGTGCGAAGGTGGGCGTAGGTGCGGGGGATGGAGGAAGTGCGGGGTAAGCTATAAGAGCGCGGGAAGCAGCGGAGAGGCCGAAGGGAGGAGCAACCAATCAATCAGTCAATCAATCAATCAACAAATCAACCAATCAATCAAGCAAGCAATCAAGCAATCAAGCAATCAATTGATTTATTGATTGATTGATTCGTTGGTTCATTGATTGATTGATTGTTGAGGCGATGGCGTTTGCTCGAGATAGAGGTCCGTTCGGGATCGCACCAATCTATCACCTCTCTCTCTCTCTCTCTCTCTCTCTCTCTCTCTCTCTCTCTCTCTCTCTCTCTC